ATGTTACATTAGAATATATATATATATATGCTCTTTACAATTCATAAATATAAAAAATATAATTTAAATAAATATCTATTAATATTTGAATAGAAAGTTAGTATAACTAAATCTAAAACGAGGTGTCAACTAACGAGGAAGTTAATGTGACATGTAAATCCTTTTTAACTAACGAGGTGACACCTCTGTACTTCTTTGTTTTGCATTTGCATTTTGAAACTGTAAATTTTGAAAACTAAAGAAAAGTAGTTTTCAATTTCTTTTTTTCTTTTTAAGTTGGTTAAGAGTTTAAATGTATCTTTAGAAATGGTGAAAAACATATAAATAAACTTCATAACTTTCAAACAAAACGGTTATCAAACGAAATCTTAATGATTTATTAAATATTTTTAAAAAGTTTATAGGTCTGATAAACAACCATTAAAGTTTAGAACTAAACTTGTAATTTAATCAAAAAAATATTACAAAAAAATAAGATAAAGTCAACAAATGTAGGAATCAAAATAGGAGGTCTTTTTTTTTTTCTTTAAGGATAATTCATTTACCTAAATCAAAGAGTCTAATAAATCATCCTTGTTTTTTTTATTATTATTTTGGAAATTCAACTTATAGAAATTTTTTAATATTGCCACTATAGATTCACATGGAAAATGGAAAACATAAAGTAAAAGAAAGTAAAATTTTCTACCATTTTCTTGAATTTTCTATGAATTTTAGGTAATGAGTTGCTTTCATTATTGATCATGATGCAACATTGAGACTAGTTTAATATAGTTTTGAAAGTGGGAATCAAAATTTTTAATTTTAAAATTGATTGATTAATTACACTTTTTTTTTTATTTAACATCATAATTAATCTTGATTGATTGGAGCATTGAAATTAACAAACTAACTTATTGCACTTAACTTTCATTCATTTTTAATCATAAAATTTGTTCCTTTCCAAAGTTAATTATAACTTCCTATTGACTAGAGCTTTTGAAAGAGGTTTAAAATTAAATCTTGAATATTAATTTTTATAATACAATATCTTACTAAAATATTATTCAATAATTTATGAAATAAAATATTTTTAGTGATATATTTGGAAAATAAATTAAAACAAAAAGAGTATTAACATAATTATGCCATTAAATCAAACCTTCGACTATATTTCAAAGATGACTCGTGTTTTTAAATTTTACCTATTTAGATTTTGAGATTTAATTTTTTTTTATTAATCTCAAGATTGGGCTCAATTATTAGTGTTTTATTTAATTCGATTTGTGTATTTTATTTAAATGATTAGATTTGATTTTTCAAGTTTCTAAATTTGGATTTCCCATATATTCAAAATTTTAAAAAATCAATCTCTCGAGCAATTTATTCCCTATTTTTCTTCATTCAATAATAATATCTAAATCCTTCCACTTATAATCAAAAAAATAAAAATAAAAAATAAAAAAATTCTCAATCCTCTTTTAATATTTCCAATTTTATTATTGTTTAATTTTCCGACCGTTCTTAATTTTTCGATGTATATTATTTTTTTTCAAACCTTTTTTGGGCGTTTTTTCTGGCATAATTTTTTTCAATAATATGATAAACGTATATTTATCCAAAAAATTATTATAATATATAACTTTTATTAATTTATACTAAACTATTAGATTATATAATAGTTCCAACGACTCTTATATAATAGATTTTTCCTTTTAATCTTGATAAACATATACTTATCATTATATACTAAACCTATAAGGTTATATAATATAAACTTTTTATCTAACTTACCCCAATAAGTTATATAATATATACTGATACATAGAGAGATATGTGATTTTTGAGAGGGAAAGGGATGATTTTTTTAGAAAAAGAGATTTGAAATGGAAAATCCCTAAATTAAGAATATTTATATTTTTTCATTGTTTATTAAATATATATTTAAGAGGGCAAAAATGTAAAATCTTAATTAAGCTGTTTATGGAATTAAGTTCTTAAAAAAGGCTATATATTTACTTATCCTAAAAAAAATGGAAGGATCAAGGTTTTTACTTTTGTCCTTCCACCTACTACAGCCCACTGCTTTAGAACTCAGGGCAGCCCAACAATGGAAAAACCCTAATTGGATATTGGTTAGTACACAACTTAGCCCATTTTTAATATCATATCTACAAAATGTTTACAATCTAAACTATTTACACTTTAATTTTAAACTGAATACTGAATAGTTTAATCTAAACTATGTTATTTATCAAAATATTCAATTTTAAAATTATTTTTCATTTTTTCACTTTTAATAATTAAATAAAATTAAAAAGAAAAAACTATTTACTCGAATTCAAAAGAATGAAATTGCAACACACATGCTAAAATACTAATACAAAAAAACACTAGAATAAGCAATATTCACTGTGGCCAAGAGCACCCCTCAAAAAGCCCCCTTCCGATGAGGCCCGAGTAGATCTTTGAAGATTGGTAGTTGTGTGTCACCACCTCCCACACCTATCTTATAGGTTCAACGTTGTCACATTGAAGCTATAGTTAACGTTAAATTTCAAAACTTTGTTTTTAGTACAATATTTGGGGTGGAAGATCGAACTCACATCTTCTTAGTTAGATATATATGTTAATTACCGCTTAACTATACTCGTTTTTGTATAAATTTCACAACTTATTCAACTTGATAAATTAAAATGGAGATGTGTGGTTGGTTGGTGGATGGCGACAGACACGTGATTTAAAGATTAAAGATGGTCTACCAAAGGTTAGTGGTTGCTTTGCAATTTGCACAAGTCTTGTGGTACAACTTTGAATATTTTTCCCTTTTTCACCATTTCTTATAAAAAAGAATTCATTATTATTTTTTTTAATATGACAGGTAGGAATGAATGATCGAACTCAGATATATGTCAATTACTACTGAGCTCGTTTAGACAATTAAGCATACACTTGATAATTGATTAACCAATATAATACAAATATTCATATCTATATTTTTAGTTAAATTAAATTAATTTTTTTTTATCTCTACACTTTCACCATTAAGCTAATTTTATTATTAATAAATTTTAGAACGAATTACTTACCTCCCTCAGATATATCTTAGTGGCTTATCCAATGCTGCTTTAATTTGTGTTTTAATAGAAAAATACAAACTTCTATTGTTAGGCTCATAGACCTTGATATTATGCTCAAAACTCAAAAGAAATATATATATATATATATATATATATTCCTCGTAAAAATAAAAAAATTCTGTGTAAATTGTCCTCCCATAAATAAGATACATATGGACTAAAAAATATATTTTAAAAAGAGAACCCTAAACATAATAATATGAGATATTGTGGGAGGGTGGGTCGCTAGGATACCGAAATGCTAGTTCAAAATATAATAATAATCGACGCTGTACTTTTAAAATTTTCATTTTTTTCGTTCTTGTTATTTTATTAAAACTAATTATACGTCTTCGGTGTCAAGTCAAATAGAGAATAGAGATCAAAAAATCTATTTGACAAGTTATTTATTGATGTGATATATGAGCACTATAATGTAATAATATTATTAATTTTAATATTGTGGATCCGAAAACATTAGTAATTTGGATCATTAGGTTTAAAGATATTATTTTAGTTGATATGCATAAAAGGGCCAAAACTAAACAAAATATGTACTTCTGAGTTGTGAAGATCTATTTTGTGTTTATTATTATAAAATGTTTAACCATTAAGAGATAGAAATATAAAAACAATTTTTTTTATTATGAGTTGTCAATTTTTTAGTAATGATAAATTCTCATGGAGCTCAACCACAGTGAATTTGACGAGGACATGTTAAATTTTAATCAAAGAAGATAGAAATTCTATTGGTAGTGAAATATTTAAAAAGAACTTAAATTATAAAAAACTAGAAAGGTAATATAACCTATATTTAATATACACATATATTGCAAGGAACCTATATTTAATTTTGTGACATCATGATTTTATATTGAGTAATTAAAAATTTATATTTTGTTCCTTTAAAAAAAATATTAATATTTTGTCAAGGACAAACAAAAACATGCTGATAAAGATTCCAGACAAATCTCTGCATCTTTCAAGGTGTAGATTTGCCAACATTATTTTTTAAATCAGTTATTTTCATTGTCTGTATTTCTTTTATATACTTTTTCTGCTTATATAAAATTAAAATTAATATATATTGTAAAACTATTATATATAAAAATAAATTTTTTTAAAAAAAATACAATATTTTAAAATTAGCCGTTAAAATAAATGAAATATATTTCCAAAGAAAAAGACCTCCACATAACACAGTATATTATCAAAATTCCCAAATCATAATCGTAATGCATAATTAATCTCAAACCAAATATATATGGGAAAAAAAAAGTATTGAGTTATATTTTTACCTTGGGGATAGTTTTATTTAATGAAAACGAATTTTATTAGATGAAAAGATGGAGAGGATATCTAAGTATAAGAAGGTTCGAGAAGCAACCATCGTGATTGTGGCTAGCATTTTATATATAGTGATTTAAAATTAGAATTAATTTTAGATGATATACTATCAATCAATCAAAACTACTATGTTTAAATTATTTATTAATCAAATTTCGAATCAATTACGTGAAATTTGCAATTTTTTCCTTTCATGTTCAAATTGTATTTTACTCAAATTGAACACAAAAATGTACCTTAATTGCTTAACTTCAATTCTAAATCACTATTTTTCATTAATGATATGTTAATTAATTTCATGTGAAGCATCGAGTTACCAAAGACATAAAAACTATAATTTCAATCTCATATAATAGGATCAGAAGATTCAACAACCCTTCAAATATTCGATTTACATTATTGTACTCTACATCGAAATACATTGTAATCTTTATAAGTAAGAAGAACTAAAATAAATATATCGGAATATAAGGAATCGAAAAAGGAATAAGCAGAATATTGAAATATCAAAAGTACCCCTCAAAAAAAGAGAAATTATTCACAGATCCCTAATGATTGGGAAATTTGCTAATTAATTGTTATAGTGATTCGAGAAAACCAGTTTTGGTAAGAACAGCATTTCTTACTTTACTCAGATCTCTCCCTTTCAAAGTTCTTCCAACTCCTTCGAACACGGAGAACGATGAAATCTGCGCCCTCGCCAGTCTCTTCGCAATCAATTCATGCGGCGGAACTCTGCAATCGAATCCTTCCTCATCCTCATCCTCGCTATCGCCGTCGTCGTCGCCGCCGCCGCCGTCATCATCGTGCTCCGGAACAGATTTCCTAGGGTTTTTATTTCCGTTAGGTGTGAACCACTGCGGAATCGACCGAGGAGCCGATCGCGGCGCAATCTGGAAATTGCCGCTGCCGTTTGGCCTAGGAATCATTCCGTAAGCAGACGGAAAGTGATTCGCGGCGGAAACAGAGGCAACAATGGACGAATCGGTGAAGAACTTGGAATCATCGGAGCTCTTCGAATTCGTTGTCGTTGATTTCTCCTTGAGAACGTCCCACACGTCTTCTTCTTCGAAATCGCCGTTTCTGAATGACCGCCACAGAGCGCTGCTCTGCCTGCTCAGTCCATGTCCGCCGCCCTCCATGGCCAGAGAGAAAAAAAAATCAAAGATTTCTGGGGAGAATCTGTGAGAATTTGAAGGGAGAATACAGTGAATTTTAAAGGGGGAAATAAAAAATGAGAAGGTGAAGGGAAAGCGGGGCTCTGCCGTATTTTGTCGTTTTTTAGAATGATGAAAGGTTACTTCTCCTTGCAACGACGTCGTTTTGATTTTTTTTTGTCTGAAATCAAGACACAGAATGAAAAAAAGAGAAAACATGTCGAAAAATACAAAAAATACATATACATCTAAGATACGAAACAATTAATAAGGTAAATCTCGAGTAAAACCTATCGAAAGTTGGGATGCATAACAAAAATTATCACGTCAAACCTATAAAAAAATTGAGATGCATAACAAAAGTTATCTTGTTTATTTATTTATTTTTGAAAAGATAAGAAATTAATGATTATGAGCTGTTTGCTGAAAATAACATTACCTCATTTATTCAATGTTTTATTATTATTATTATTATCATTTTCCTTCTAATGCTTAATAATTGATTTATTTTCCAATTTTCACTAAACTCCCTTATTTGGGCTTAACAACAAAACAACCTAGGTTTTGAACCAGGTTCGTCTAAAAATGTACCTACCCATAATTTTAAATACCTTAATATACTGTTTTTTTTCCTCTTTTTTTGAGATGGTTGTCGCAACGTCATCGCGACGCGGAGCCGAACTCCTAAGTGAGAGAAACATAAATATGTACATAAAATTAAATTCTAGGGTTATAAAGCCGAACTACTAAGTGAGTAAATAAGTTTGAAAGTGTTTATGTGCCTACAACATGGACATTTATAACCCCTTTGAAAGACAACACTTCTATCCAAAGCTTAAACAAATAGTTAGGAAGAAATAAGGTAAATCATTTTTTATTCTTTTTTTTTTAAGTGGTTCATTTAAAATCTAATGGTTAAAACTCCAAATCAACCCTAATTTTTTATTAAAAACAATATGCCATGAACGACAGAACAACCCACATAAAATGCAATATGAGTATGGTGTGAAGTTATGTACTAATGCATCCTAAAGGATAATCGCCCTCAAATTTTCCATATGCTTTGGCAGTATGGTCGACTTGAGTGGAGAATTTCATGCGCCTGCACGGGAACCGCAATTCCACGAAGGTCACACTACTCAGTCTCCGATCTAATCCTAAAAGGTAAAGCCCGGGTAGGAGGCTTGTGAATGTGTGTGAGATGCATGATGATGCAAAATAAAATAATAATACAATTAAATGGAGAAAAAAAAACAAACAAAAAAAATGGACCCAAAAACATATTACAATAGGATAATAAATGACAAAATAAATGGTTTGACTCTCAAATGTCCCCAGCGGAGTCGCCAAGCTGTCGCAACGTCATCGCGACGCGGAGCGGCCGACGTAATTTCCTTGAAGGGTCTCTTTCGAGATAAGGGTTTGGAGTCGCCACCAATCATCTACGAGGTGTGATTGGTCACCTAAAAATAAAGACAAGGTCTGCGA